ATATACCATCTCTGTTAGTCTATTGTTATGAGAGAGTTTTCCCGGAATTTTCAATGCCGCGATGAATTCTTGATACTATATTATATTTGTAACTTGATCTTGTTTATCCAGACCACGCTTTCTGATGGAAATAATTTTTGACCCACCACCTCCCCTGCAACCACTCAATATATACTCAATTGTAGTTGATTAAATTATGTTTACTTACAGTGGGGTTATTGTATGTTATTTTTTTTTCAATTGATATGTGTTAATAATGTTATAATAATATATCATCATAATTATTTGGTTGTTTATATACAGTATACATATATTTACATTGATGTTGTTCTTTGATCTGATATGTTAACAATGTAACAATACTGTATTTAATTTTTCATGTGGGCGTGTTTGTTCTCCCATCTTTTTTGCAAATTCTTCTAGTCATATTTGTATTTTTTCCTTATGTATATTAATATCCTTATAAAGGATATATTCAAATATGGTCATATGTAACTTTTGTACATATTTGGTTAATTTGTTTGGCATTACAATAAATGCTCATTTACAACAAACATTTTGTTTTGATATTTGCAAACAACAGAGCAGAGTAGACTCATTCGTGGAGAAAATAAATTATTTGAGGAAGGTGGAAGACGATGGTATAACTATTGCAGCGCAACGTACATTTTATCCCGGAAGAAAACGTGTACACCTTGATGATCCTGTCTTTTTTCATTACGATGCATGTGTACATTTATAGTGGAAATTATGCATTTGGAAATATTGGCAATTTTACTTCTAGGGAAAACAGTGGAAATTATATGCTACGGTAGGGCATATAAATTTAAAAAGAGGATTTAGGCAGAGCATTTTAGATTAAGTAGATGTTTGTTTATACTTATTTACTTTTATAAATAGCTAGATTTAGCACTGCGTTTAGCGTTAAGCTCTTCACGAACCGTGCTCAATAGAATTATGTGTAAGAACAAAAGATATTTGTAATGACATGTACGTCAAGTTTTCTAATCGGGAATCCTCTTCTGATTCCGCTACGCTCCATTCAAACCTGGATTGGTAGAGTAATACGCATCTTGTCTATATATTTCTCCACCGCAGATTACTCATTTCATATTTCACTTTGCATAGAGTTCTTCGGAAAAAATTCTGAATTTGACTAATTCTACATTTTAAATAGGATTTATGACTACCTGACATTAGTAGGCATGCCACAAAGTAACTAATTTTTAATTTTAAATATATATGGCATATTGTGTAAAATATAAACGCCCTATGAAATATCATTCATGCTATGGCCATTTGTGCGGTGTGAGGGCATGTGTATTAATTTAGAAAGATCTTGTCACGGGTATATATATATATATATATATATATATATATATATATATATATATATATATATATATATATATATATATAAAGCACTAAAAAACCAACAACACTGTATATCCTAAATGTCGGATCTACTAAGTAGATACAAGGTCACGGATGGAAATTTATATAAAGCACTAAAATGACCAACGACACGAACAATAAAAATTGTCAAATTTTCGGGACGCCCTGTCCCTTCCTCAGGACAAAGAAAAAAGTTAAAAAGTCATAAAAACAAAGGAAAAAGAGAAACAAAAAGAACTAGCACTACTACTAAACACTAGATATTTACATAATTACATGTTGAATTGGAAATATTAAGAACACTTATAAAGAAAGTAATCCGGACCGCTGTGAAATGCGTCCGGTCTATCGGGTATACTCGGGTGAAGTGCGATTTGCATAATTGAACGAATTAATTATGCTAATTAATTACGATAATCAGTAAATCGTACATTGTTTCATTATCTCAAAATGGCGTGACTTTACTAAATAAAGAATAATCAAAGAAAAATAATATAGCAGGGATATTTAAACATATGAATTATGATCCATTATAAATTTTGAAATATTTAAGGATTTATTACCGGGAAAAAATTTTTTTAACAAAAGCGTAAACAATAAATAGTTTTGTGATAATTGAACGAATTAATTATGCTAATTAATTACGATAATCAGTAAATCGTACAGTGTTTCATTCTCTCAAAATGGCATAACTTTACTTAATAAAGAATAATCAAAGAAAAATAATATAGCAGGGATATTTATACATATGAATTATGATCCATTATAAATTTTGAATTATTTCAGGATTTATTACCGGGAAAAATTTTTTAACAAAAGCGTAAACAATAAATAGAGTTAATAACCACCGCTCGACCATTAGGACCAAAAAACTCAATGAACCCGTTGGGGAACATTTCAACCTTGAGGGTCACAAATGGGAGGACATGACAGTAGTGGTGATTGACCATAACCCAAGATGGACAGATGCTCAGAGAAAAAGCAAAGAAAAGTTCTGGATGCACAGATTGAAGTCATTCCGCCCTAATGGCATTAACAAACTGAATGACTTCACCAGAATGAACGTAAACTAGACCCAATTCTGATGATACTAAACAAGATTATTCTCTCAATTTAGTGTTAACTCTACAATTAATTTGCGTCACCAACTCTCGGACAACCCACAAAACTATTTATTGTTTGATTATTCTTTATTTAGTAAAGTTACGCCATTTTGAGATAATGAAACAATGTACGATTTACTGATTATCGTAATTAATTAGCATAATTAATTCGTTCAATTATGCAAATCGCACTTCACCCGAGTATACCCGATAGACCGGTCGCATTTCACAGCGGTCCGGATTACTTTCTTTATAAGTGTTCTTAATATTTCCAATTCAACATGTAATTATGTAAATATCTAGTGTTTAGTAGTAGTGCTAGTTCTTTTTGTTTCTCTTTTTCCTTTGTTTTTATGACTTTTTAACTTTTTTCTTTGTCCTGAGGAAGGGACAGGGCGTCCCGAAAATTTGACATTTTTTATTGTTCGTGTCGTTGGTCATTTTAGTGCTTTATATATATATATATATATATATATATATATATATATACACTAGACAAAATTGCTAACGCACCACTTAAAATTCTTCTTTGTGAATTGAACATTTGCCTAATTGGTATAAGTATATATAAAACGCCATAGTTTCCAATACAATGAGATTGGGAAATGTCTTGGTGTCAGAACAAAACCCCAAAATGACCTTCTTGCCCAAAATCAATTTCCCGACATGCATTGCGTACCTCTTTTTTGCCTAGATATGTGTATTGCTAATTATCGATAGTGCTCCTTGAGGTTACACCAGAAACAGTCTCCCAGTTAAAAAAAAATCAAATAATATGCAGCATTTGACTATTATATCGCCTGCTAGTCATCCAATGCCTAGGTTTCCATACAACTTAAACAAGTTTTGAAAAGTAAAATATTACTTTCATTTGGTGGTGCGTTAGCAATTTTGTCCAGTTACATATATATATATATATATATATATATATATATATATATATATATATATATATATATATATATATATATATATATAGAAAGCACAAAGAAATTCACTTTTACATGGATACCCACTTCCGCCCCAGCCCGGGGTTGAACTCTCGACCTTCGGAATCTGTCTCCTAGCAGTGCAGGAACAGCGCGCTAGACCGCTCGGCTATCTAGGCAAGTCAAAAAAACTTGCTTTCGATGCCGATGGAATTCTCGCGGCGCTGCCCTACACTACACGGTCATTGAGAATAGAAGTGAGATACAGTTATTTGGACATTAGTTTTAACAGAGGATTGTTACCAATACATGTTGTAATGAAATTAATTATTATTTATAACGCACATTTTACAACAACTCTTAAACTAACATAACTGCCCTAAGTGAAGAAATATTAATATAGAAAGCACAAAGAAATTCACTTTTACATGGATACCCACATATATATTTATATATAAGCCGTATCTCTTCTCATCAATAATTATGGCCAATTTAAATAAATATTTTTTAAGTAGGCCAAACTGTAAGGTCACGGGGTCAAAAATCATAGTGTATATGTAAAAAAAGTCTTGTCAAAGGCAATGTACATGTGGAATATGTGATAAACTGTCTCTTCTCATTCAAAAGAAATGACCAAGATTTAAGTTTTCATGACGAACTGACTTTAGACTGACAAACGAATGAGATTTAAAGTCCCCTAGCTTTCGCAAAAGCGGTGTACAAAAAGATAACATGACTGAATAAGCAAGATAATAGAACACTTTTGACTTCCGAGGTTAGTGTGCGAGGTACGATCGTGAACGAGCCATACGAGGAAATCCCTGTGGGAAATTCTCATGTTAAACCTTCCCATTTTACCAGTTAATATTGAAAGAGTTTAAGAGGCTGAATTTAAATGTGAAATGTTTCTAGCCTAAGCATCAATTTTAATTATAGTAGTTTTTTTTATGTCATATACATGTATCAAATAACCAATAAATATCATTGGTTGATGTAAAGCACAGTAGATTAGAGCTTTACTGGTGGAGATTTGAGGGAAGTGTTGTTTTAAAACGGATACGTCAAATTATATAGAAGTACAGGTACCCTTTAACTAACAGGAAAAGTATTTTATAAAGTACGCATTCGTTTTTTTTTTTTTTTTGTTTTTTTTTTCTTTTTGTATAGCAACATGTTTGTTCGTCGCATGAACTGTTTTTTTATTTTTTAAGAATACAGGTGACAATGTTCTCCTCTAAAATGATGTTGATCATGTCATTGCATGTTTAAAAACTAAAAAAAAGCAAAAGAAAAAAAAAAACAAAACAAGTCAACAATTATTAAAAAGAAATACAATTATAACACTAAAGAAATAAAACACAAAATGATACCATCTCTTCGGAAAAGGTCATTTATTTGTGCTCACATTTCCATTGTTGTATCTAACTATTATCGTCCTTTTATCTATATTTTATGGCTTCTTGAACAGAATTGAGTAATAAACGTTTTAACTTTTATAAATCTAGACGTTTTATCTCATAAACAACCGGCTTTTCAAAGCGCAAATCTACCTATAACTGGTTCGGGTGCAACTATGGCTGTAGATGGGAATCTTGCTACGTGTGCACGGCTTGATGTAATTGGTTCTAGTAGTCGATATGATAGAGCTTGGTGGTACATGGACCTGGGAGATATCCACTGTATATACAGCATTAGGATACAGTTTGAGGACATGGGTGAAACATACGGCAAGTTTATATGATTAATATTTTATTTTCATGACACCTGATGCCACCTCTCACGCCTTTGCTCTCTTTCTATTTTGTATTGATTTATGGACCTTTGACCAAAAATACTGTTAGGTATCTCCATATGTTTATTGCATCATGGCTGTTTATTTTTTCGATATCAAATAAAGGAAGTCTTGTCAACCGACAATCGCCTGCTTGGCGCAGTTGTTAGAGCGTCTGTTCTAGAATGGAGACGATACGCAGCACTGTTAAGGCTTACTATGAGAAAGCAACGGAAAATAAAAATGCAAAAAGGGGTATTGTTTTAAAAACTGAATTTATTTTTGTTTAGCTGTTTAATTATCACAGAACTTAAATACTTGTGTAAAATAGCATAGTATAACCTACTCTGTACTGTATGAGGTTTGGTCTCATCGATGGACAGTCACGTGATAAATGCATAGTACGTGTACTGAATGTGGGTCATTAACAAATTTCAATTTTGCAAGGACATACCCTATTTGAAATTAAAAATTCAAGCTATTTTTTTGTTACTTTATACTTTTTACTTTCTGGAAAGTGCTGCTGCTTTGAATAGAATTTGCGTTTTAATAGTTAAAATTTTAAGAAAATAGGCCCATGTCGAAATATGTATGATTTTTATGCGCCCGGATCGATAGATCCGAGGCTTATATTGTTTTTGTCCTGTCTGTCTGTCTGTCTGTCTGTCTGTCTGTTTGTTTGTTTGTTTGTCTCCAAACTTTAACCTTGGCCATAACTTTTGAACCATGAAAGGTAGAATCTTCATATTTGGTATGGATACTTCACTAATCAGGTGCTTTCAAATGACACCGATATTAATGACCTTGTGACCTTAAATGTGACCTACATGCCAAAAATAGTTCTTTTGTCTGCAAACTTCAACCTTCGCCATAACTTTTGAACCATGAAAAATAGAGACTTCATAATTAGTATGCATACTACACTAATAAAGTTCTTTTAAATGACACCAAGGTCAATGATCTGGTGACCTTGACTGTGACCTACATGCTAAAAATAACTTTTTCGTACCTTCAACATAAGGTTGAACCATAAAAGATAGAGACTTCATATTTGGTGTGCATACTCCACTAATCAAGTTCTTTCAAATGCCACCAAGGTCAATGACCTTGTGACCTTGATTGTTACCTATGCTAGTATGCTAAAAATGGCTTTTTTCGATTTTTGTTGCCGCCGGGCGCATAGTGTTTCACAAACACATCTTGTTAACATATATTTTATGTACTTATAAAGTTACCCTCTCGATTTAAAGAAAGCGGTAGCTCTTTTCAAGTTAAGGAACATATCTTTTATTTATATTTAAAAAATGATTAAGATTTATTTAGTGTATGTCCTGGCGAAAGAACGATTTAAACAGGCACCTCCATGTAAAATATACCTAACCTGAACATAAAAACACGACAAAATAATTGAAATACATTCTCTCGATTGTTAATGAATAATCGCTGTGAACAAAAGATATACATTGGTATTGATAGCCTTTTTTAACACCTGTAAATAACATTCTGTTTTTATCATAAAACACAATTTTCATTGTTAAAAAAATCCTCAATCTGCCTCTCACAGCACAGATCTTTGAGATCAGAGATCCGTTTATAACCAGCTGTATGGAATTTAACCAGCAACTTTTTAAAATGCATTGATAAATTTTATTGTTGTTTTTTATGCCAATGCAGTTTAAAGTTGCAAGTTATTTTATTTTCTAATATTATGAGGAATACATCAAAATCATTTTTAGTGTGACTTCACAGTAAACTTTTCCCGTATAAATAAGGCCCCGCCTCCTTATTTTAGCCTTAACATGCTGCGTAGAAGTCGATCCTTATGTCGCAGGTTTGAATTCTACTGTGGGTCGTGGAGACCGGTATTCTGATCAGAACGTTTAAAGCAAGGTCCCATGTCGCAGTAGATAGATTTGAAAATAACAACTTGGGTCATGTTTAAATGAGTAAAATGAATAACTTTCTAGTTTTTTTTATTTTTTATTCAAATTTTCACAGAAATGGAATTTGAAGTGAAAAATATTTGTATAGATTAATAAGGATTGTTTCAGAAGGGTAGACGTTTGAATATTACAGAAGGTTTACACTTTCTTTATATTCTAAAAAAAAGTATTATTTGCATTATTTGCAATGAAATTAGGTCAAACAATATATACCAATCCAGGCATCCATTTTTGGCTTTAATTTCAAATAATTAGGTTAATGACCTCGTTTTTATGCTAGGGTCCCCTAAGTATTTCTTGGGAAATACCTCAATTTTTCACACTATGGCCAATTTTTTCTTCACTCACTAAATATTACAAGCAACAACAGTCTTTAAATTATGAAATATTATATCAATGTCAATGGAACAGAGTTGCTGTATAAAGAAATGAGCAGAGTTTGGGCCATAAACGTGATAATTATTACAGTCCAAATTTCCTCTGTCATATTTATGTTTTTCCCCCATTTTTAATCGCATATTTAATAAATCTGACTGATAAGAACTCTAAATTATTTATAGCCTCATATTACCTTTGTTGCACTAATTCTCATGGTATTAACATTATATGGGGTCAATGATCAAATTATTATATAAATATTGCATGTAGTTGAGTGTAACATTAAAAATTTTCACCCCAAGAAAACCATTGTCAAACGAGGCGCAGCCGAGGTTGACAATGGTTTTCGAGGGGTGAAAATGCTATATTTATTATATTTTACTGAATGTTTTATACAAATACATATAACAGTGAACCGTGCGCGCATAAATTCTGCGCAGTCGCTATTTTTTGTAATACCACCCGTCGTCAAGCAATGTTGACTGTTGCTACGCTGGAGGGCGTGGCTTCATTATTGCAAGTAATAGTGTTTTTTAGCAAATGTTTCTCGACAAATCAGATTCAACTAATTTACATGAAAGTATAATATTGAGATATGTTGCCTGAAATGGTTTTGTTCATGTTCCTGAATTTCTCTATTTGATAGCATTTATTTATTTAAAATAATTTATTAGCTTTAAGGCAAATAAAATATGCAAAATGATGTCTGTATAACCCTTACATTTGATAAATATTGCAAGAAATAAAAGATTTTGACAAAAATGAAAAATTAAAAATTTAGTCCGAATTTCCTCTGCATTGCCATACATATATTTTTGTTCCTGTATATTTTCTTCAAATAATAAAATGTGAAATTTTGATATTGTGTTAAAACTTAGTAAATTTATCCATTTAAAACAGTTTTTGATTTAATATATCATACTTTATGAAATTTCCTTTCTGATTATTATCAGTCTAGTCGCAAATGTCCTATCTGTTCATTCTTGTACATGTACCATTTGTGTTTATCAAACAAATTTGTTTCTGCTTTCTTTTTTACAACAACACGCCATTTTCTTCAAACCAATAACAAGAAATCAATAAATCAGTACTGTAAATAAAGAACGAGTGCACTTATGGGCCCCGGAAAAATGTGAAAAAATAAACAATCAAATTAAGCAAAAATTTTCATCTCGAATCATTAATTGATATCTAAACGATCCGATTCAACAAATTTTACCGCTGAAATCCACGAATATACAAAGAGCAAAACTATACAATGTGGTAGGGGTCAGCCGACATTGGCGATTTTCTATAGTAAATCGAGAACGGTCATTCATTTCAAAGCCTTTGTTAGCTATGAGCCTAACGTTGTGCAAACTTGTGCGAATGACAAAAGACGCATATTATTTATAAAACTTGTGTGAAAGTATGAAATTTGCACACGATTAGGCTCGTACTTAAAATATTAAAAATGTATAAAAAGTACAATGTTTTTCCTATAGCAAGTGAGAGCTATTTACCTGTATGACCCATGTTGAACCCATGTGTGGAATAAATTATTTAAAATACTGATAGTCACGTGAGTTCTACGCAGGTAAACATTCCTCAGAAGTGCTCACTTTAAAACATAGGCAGGTTTTGTTTCAGTAAGTCAAAGTCGTGCCGCTTAGAGATGTTTGTATGTATTTGTTTTTAAGAACACGGGTAAGGAGATCTAAGTGTCGTTCATAATGTGTCAAACATTTTTAACCTTCATGCAAGACAATGAAACAGGTATTGAAAGCCACCTATACATGTAACACTCCTTTTTAATTTCAAATTCAATGAAACTATTATTGTAATTTTTCAAATGCAAGAGTACCAATTTCTTAGATTAATCATTTTAGATACAGGCAACTAAACAACGTCATTCCATATTTTTAAAAACAGGTTTGGCGCAAGAAATATCATTCCGCAAACGCGCCCGACTATGATCCACCATCAGATTGTTCAAGTATTGATTTAAATAATTATCTATTCCCTTGATTTACATAAACGAAACTAAAAGAAGGTTAGGTACGACTTTTCCGGATTTACAGGGTATCCATAGGCCTTTTAAAATATTCAATTGTTTCAAATCCATGCTGATTAAAGTGGCGCTTAACATGCTTTTTGATTAGAAATATCCACTAGTATCTAACTATTTCCAATAGAGAACGATTTGGTAATATATTCTGAAGCAAAATGGCACATAAAAAGGGCCCATTAAGTATTGCTTAAGTGCACTTGTCCTTTGTGAAATTGCAACGCATTTTACAAAAAAAATTTAAAAATCAAAAAATCTTGATAAGTGTGTGTTAAACTAACGCTTAATGTCATTAATGCATAGATTCAACATCTTAAATTAATAGTTAAAATAGCATACATTTTTGTCCTTGTTAAAATGTATATGATTTCCTCTCTCTTCCTTTAGTCCAGAGGCAAAGGGGTAGGTTTGCTGGATTTTCTCTCTACCTTTCAAATTCAACTAAAAAAGAAGAGGGATATATGTGCTACAAAGACGGACCAGATTTACCTCCCTTAAATTTCACAACAAAATGTATAGGATATGGTCGATATGTCATCTACTACAATGAAAGACTGAGTGGAGTAACGTATCCAGCAGGATATGAAGCTATGTCTTACTCCCAGTTGTGTGAAGTGGTAGTGGAAGGTAAATTCAAAGGAGTAATTTTTTTTTTTGTCTTTTTTGTTTTGTTGTTTGTCAGTTAAGAAATATTTCTTTAACAGGATGCTCTTCAGGAAAGTATGGAGAAAATTGTGAAAAGAATTGTTCTCCTTATTGCTTTGAAACTTTATGTGATATTATCAATGGTAAATGTATGAAATGCAAGCCGGGATGGGACGGAAAAAAGTGTCAATCATGTAAGTCGAGTTTTCTTTTCATAAATTGGTTTTCCATAGATAAAACCCTACTTGGTTTCTAAAATGTTGCATGTCAAAATAGCTTGCCTTAAAGAATCTTTCGGCCAGGACTGTAAATTTCGATGTTCAGGACATTGCAAAGGTGGAAGGTCATGTGACCATGTGACAGGTGAATGTGTCGAAGGATGTGTGTCGGGATGGACAGGATCGATGTGTAATAAAAGTAAGGAAGAATACGTGAGTTAAATGTCTCTTTAAGTTTTAAGGAACTTGAATCAAATATATTCGAATGAAGTCCATGCACAGATGCTCATGATTTTTTTTTAATTTTGTAAACAAAAATATAATTATCAATAAAAAAAAAATACAAATGATCAGGAAAAAAAAAACTTTAATTTTAAACGGCATGTTAAACATATGCAATCATGTTTTTATGCTAAAAATTCACTGCTTGAATGGTAAAGATTGTAAAAATGGTTGCACATGTAATAAGGTTGACTCCAAGTGCTTTCTAGAAAAAAAAAATCTACAAACTTTAGTATCAACAAATCTGAAGATTTATTTAGGAATGATACTTATATTGTAAAGAAATACTAATGTTAGGAATGTTATGCAAGACATTTCTGTTTTAATTAGCAGATGTAAAAACTATAGATATATATGACATTTAATGTTAAGATAAAATAAAGCTACAAACTCTATACATGTAATAATCTAATTTTATAAATAATACATAATAATTACATAAATAAATGTAATTATCTAATTATAGCTTGTGACAATGGGTATTATGGCTTTAATTGTTCTTCCACGTGTAGTGGGCATTGTTTATATGACAAACCTTGTAACAAGGAAACTGGGCATTGGACTCGGGATGTAGTGATGGATATACTGGGGATTTATGTCAGAATGGTAAGTTTTTACAATTACTTTAATTTACTGTACTTAAGAGAAATGTGATATACATAAATTTATACTTGTACATGAATGTGTCGTCCGTACAAATATTAATTTTGTTCCTTCTGAATAGTTCAAACTTTGGAGAAGAATGATATTATTAAGACTAGTATGATATACATGAATATCTGCGTTTCTTTTTATATCTATGAACAATTACTCACATGTACAGAATGTACACCTGGGTGGTTTGGAGAGGACTGTAGAGTACTTTGTAGTGGACACTGTGCTGATAAGGCTGTTTGTAATCACTCGGACGGAATTTGTCCACATGGATGTGAAGACGGTTATACCGGGCAAAATTGTTCCACACGTAATATTTAGAAACGCTTAAAATCGAATTATATGGAAACAAATGTTCCCTTTTAATTACTTGAGTGTTTTAATACTTACAAGCATTGAATCAAAACAAGTTTAAAAAAAATCAATTTTGCTTTCTTTTAGCTTGTCCTCTCAATCACTACGGTAGAAATTGTTCCACTTTATGTTCTATAAAATGCTCAAATACATGCAGTCATACAGATGGTTCTTGTGAGTGCAGTTCCGGTTGGAGGGGTTCGCCGTATTGCGACAAACGTAAATACAATGGACCTTTAAACATATATTTACTTTTTCAGATAATATATTTTATTGAAAATATAACGTAAAAATATGATAAATAAATTTTAGAGTGTCTTCCTAATATGTTTGGCGAAAACTGCGTCAAGGTTTGTTCTGCCTCTGTGCAGAGTGTTTACCAAACCAACAAACCAAAACAATAAAGGCGGATCACTCTTTATTGCATCGATGCTTGTATGTGTATGGTAAAAGACTGAAAATAATAAAGAGACAAGATTTACAAAAAGATTCATACAATTCAGTGATACCCAATTAACCTTATTTTACATTGTAAGTGACAAATTATAGACAAACAAGAATAATATCAATATTTAGTGAACATTTTTCCAATTTAAATTCAAACATAGACTAGCCTATCATAAAAAATTAAAATGCACTCTTAGTAACATGTAGGTTATTTATCACATAAACTGAGGATCAATATAGCGTTTACATTCATAGCAGATTTTTACATAACCATTAACTTTCTAATACACATCGAAATCTATTAACCTATCTGATCCAAAGTAATCTGTAAAATATAACTTAAGATAATACATAAAAACTTACTTATGGTGCAGGGATGTACCCGTAAGAGTGAAAAATACTTTAAAACAATGCTTGGAACAAGCGAAAATGGCCTCCTAGCCTCATGTAGGAACAACATAAAATATTCTAAAAAAACAAACCGTAAAGGGTTACAAACCCGGAATAATTATAACAATGTAAAAAGAAATATAACTCTTACGAGGTATAAGTTGTGTAACACTACACTCCCCGCCTGATATGAAATATCACACCCTTACAAGCAAAACAAATGTATACATTATCCTTAACTGAGGATACCTACAATGCACAAAATGTAGTTACTTTAACTCAATACATAAACTAGTCATTCAACTTTTCACAAAACAGTTAGTTGTGATTTGACAGCAAAAGCACGATCTGAGTAATCGGTCGCACATATGTTCTCTTGCTCCGTCTTTGAATGTCACAAGTTCGACCTTTCTCACGAGATAATCCTCGCTAGGGAACACACGAGTAACACGACAGAGAGACCAGAAAGTTCCGATGCTGCTCCGCGTCCTTCATAAGGACAATATCTCCTTCTTGAACATTTGGTTTGGTATCGGCCCACTTTCTGCGTTCTTGTAGCGACTGGGGGTACTCCTTGCGCCATCTGTCCCAAAATCTGTTGGCAAGAATTTGGACTATCTTCCACTGAGAGGTGTACATGTCGCGAACATCAAAGTTCATATGACTTTCAGAGACATTCCCCATTTTTTGGGTAAGTAGAACATTGGGTGTAAGTACCTGAGGCGACTCCGTATCCGTTGCAATAGGAACGATTGGTCTGTTGTTGACAATTGCCGAGACCTCTGCAAGGAAAGTGGTGAGTACTTCGTGGGTTAGTTTGACGTGACGATTCTCTTGTAAGATGGCATCAAGGATACGGCGCGTGACCCCTATGAGACGCTCCCAAGTTCCTCCCATATGTGAGGAATGAGGGGGATTAAACCTCCAAACTGTTCCTTTATCTGTGAGTAGGTTATGTATGGGTGCGTCCTCTACATTCACAGAGTTAATACCTAATTCACGCACACTGCCAACAAAATTTGTGCCTCTATCTGAGTAAAACTCCTTGACATCTCCTCTTATGGCATAGAATCGACGTAGAGCATTCACAAAGGAAGGTGTATTCATCTGTTCTAATACTTCAATGTGCACAGCCCTACAGCACATACAGGTAAACAAAGCTGCCCATCTCTTAGAGTCAGCACTCCCACCACGAGTACGCCTAGTTGTCACATTCCATGGCCCGAAACAGTCCACTCCAACGTAAGTGAATGGGGGTGAGGGTTTCAACCATATCGCAGGTAGGTCCGCCATCTTCTGAGTAAGAAGTTTCCCACGCCCTCTGCAACAAATCACACACTTGTTAATCAGTGAAGTCACAATACGTTTGGCACCAGTAATCCATAGACCTGCATTGCGGATTGCTCCCTCTGTTATATGGCGCCCTTGATGGTGTGTTAACTCGTGAAAGTGTAGAGCTAACAGCTTAGCAATATGATGACTCCCTGGCACAAGTATGGGACTCCTTTCCCCCAAATCAAAGTCACTATGTTGTAATCGGCCTCCGACCCGCACCATGCCTTCTTTATCTAAAGATGGGTTAAGTCTCAAAATGGAACTGTTTCTAGGAAGTGGCCTTTCATTCTTAAGTGCAGTAATTTCCTTCTCGTAGACTTCTAACTGGACGTGATGTATTATAAGCTCCTCTGCCTTCCTAAATGCACTGCTATCTTCTGTAGCTTTAATATCCTTACTGTGATGTGCCACTGCATGGACAATCCGTTTCAGGCACATGATGGCTCTAACGAGATTCTTCCATGAAGAATACCTCTCAAAGCGTGAAGTCCAGGATAAGGGGGTAGACACATCCACCTTGCAAACCACAGTGTCCTGTTTGATTTCCTTATCCATAGTTGGATCTACCAAATCATTTGTTGGGGCAGGACCATCTACAGTATCTTCTGTGCGTAGCCATTCTATTGGTCCACTGAGCCATGAGTCATACAGTGCACTGTCGATAGTAGATTTAGTGCCATGGTCTGCTGGGTTCTGGTCCGTAGGGATGTAGTTCCATTGAGATGATTTGGAGAAGCTTAGAATTCTTTGAACTCTGTTGCTTACGTAGGTTAAAAATCTCTTTGTGCGATTGTACACATAACCCAGAACGATCCTGCTGTCCGTGTAGAATTTGAAATGATCTGCATTGATGTCTAGCTGATCCCTTATAATAGTAGCAATTTCTACTCCCAGGACGGCCGCGCACAACTCTAAGCGTGGTATAGAAGTGGCTGGTCTGGGTGCGACTTTAGATTTACCCATAATGAAACCCAGATTGATGTCTCCACCATGACTGTGAAGCAGGTAGGCCACAGCAGCAATAGCAACCTCCGAGGCATCTGTGAAAATCAGTACGTTCTTCTCTTGAAGCTGAGAAAAGCCAATGGGCAGGTACTTACGAGGTACATTCAATGCTCCAAGACGAGTCAATGATTGGGTCCAATCATCCCATCTGCTCTGGAATTCTTCTGGTAAGGGAGCATCCCAGTCCACAGAAGGTGCCTGTGTCATTTCTCTAAGAAGTAACTTTCCCTGAATAGTGATAGGCGCTATGAAGCCTAGAGGGTCGTACAGGCTATTAACACATGATAAAACTCCTCTTTTAGTGTATGGTTTCTCCTTCCTGCTAAGTTTAAACCCAAAGGCATCCCTCTGAAGATCCCACACGAGTCCCAGACTCCGCTGGGTTGGAAGATCATCATGTGTAATATCTAAGTCAATCAAGTCCTTTGCTAGGTCTTTCACATCAAAGCTCTGCATCACTCTAGGGTCATTAGAGGCAATCTTATGTAATATGAGGTTCCCGTGGGTCAGTAAGGCCTGTTGAGTTCGTCGTAGGAGATCTATGGCTTCTTGTGTTGTTGGTAGGGACACCAGACCATCATCCACGTAAAAGTTCCGCTCCACAAACTCTCTTACATCCTTCCCAAAGCTATGTTCTGCTTGAATGGCAGCAAGACGAAACCCATAAGTAGCTACAGCAGGTGATGGGGTGTTTCCAAAAACCTGGACTGTCATGCGGTACTCCGTTAGAGGCTTGGTAGGGTCATTGTCTGTGTACCATAAAAATCTTAAGAAGTTCCTATGTTTCTCTGAGACACCAAAGCAGTGGAACATTTGCTCGATATCTGCGGTCACAGCTACGGCTTCCATCCTAAAACGCATCAACACTCCAATGAGACTATTTGTAAGGTCTGGACCTGACAAAAGTACGCTGTTCAGAGACAAGTCCTGGAAGCAAGCTGAAGAGTCGAATACCATGCGAATCTTCTCCGGTTTGAGTGGGTGGTACACCCCGAAAATTGGTAGGTACCAACATTCTTCGTTTGGTTTCAGAGGTGGGGCTACCTCTGCGTGATTTCTGTCAAAAATGTTCCTCATGAATTCTAAGGCATGTCCAAGTTAGGTGGGATTTTTTATCAACGAAGCATCTAAGATCATAGCCCGTCTCATTGCTTGGGTGTAACTATTTGGTAACACAGGCCTATCATGTTGGAAGGGTAATGGGGCTGTCCATTTTCCATAGGAATCGCGGTGAAACTCCCTGTCCATTATTTCCAGAAACTGGCGGTCCTCAGTCGACATTCCAGGAGTCTCATCATTCACTGTAGTACAGAATATCCCCGTACAAGAACCGACACCATGTTGATGTTTTTCTCGTGTAATGAGTAACTTGGAATCACAAGGCTCAAGTAGGGTACTACGCCCATTGTCCAACACATGAGTCTTATTCACTACAATGGAATTAGGTCTATGAGCACTAGCTGCACTACCCAAACACACTTCACCGATAATAGTCCACCCCAAGTAGAGTTTTTGCGCAAACGGCAAGTCTGGGGCCCAAGTTTTTGTTCGATCACATGATGCACTTGGATCAGATCCCTTCCTATGAGAAGCAGAATCTCGGCTGTATGATCCAAATCAGGAATTAATGGTGCAATATCCAACAGGTGTTGATATGCCGACGCCACTTCAGGAGTCGGTATTTCCTTACGATTGTTGGGAATCTCGTAACATTCTATAATTTTAGGTAAGTACAACTTCTGTTCAGCTGACACTGGCTCGATGACGAATCCCTCTGCTGTTCTTCCAGAAAATGTAACACTCCCACCGCAGGAATTCAACATGAAAACAGTCATTGCCCTCTAAGCCAAAGTGATAAAAAAAACTTGGAACGAGCTAAGGTTCTATTGCTCTGATCGTCTATCATAGCGTAAGTTCTAAAGGTAAGATCAGGTCTGTTAGACGGGTATACGTTCACAAGAACAATCTTCCCACAAGATCGGCCAACTTTATCCTTCCCACACAATCGGGTACAAGAGGAAGTGATAATGTTTTCATCTCCCTTCCCAGATGGTGATTCCTTAGATGAACTCTCCCCGCCATTCTCTTGCCCAGAGTCTCCGTGAAAGTGCATACACGTAACATGGCGGTCGCTTTTACAAAAGTCACAACTCACTTTAAGTTTGCACTTGTTGGCCCTATGCTTTCCCTTGCAGCAACGGAAACAGAGTTCCCTACTTTTCAGAAAGTCGCGTTTATTTGGGAATGTCATTGCCAGAAAGGCACGGCATTGTTCCAAGGAATGGTCAGCCTTGTGTATAGGGCACCGCATAGAGGATGTCGGTGTTTCAGTACCAACGTCTGACTTCCGGACAAAGACTTTGTTTGTAGGTTCTCTCTTCTTGTCGGATGGATACCTCGTACTAGAAATAAGACCTGGATCATTTTTCAATTCACATATCTCCTGTATGAAACTGACAAATATGCTAAATGGTGGGAATGGAACATGATTCAAACGTCTATACTTAGATGCACTGGTGGCCCATTTATCTTGTACTTGATTGGTGAGTTTACTAACAATAGGCAATATGCCTGAGGAAGTGTCATAGTATCCAAGTAGTCTGGAATATTTTGGGTCCTGCTTGTTGGACTCAATCTCATACAGCAAGTCAAGTAGATCATAATAACGCTTCGGATCCATCTCTGTAATTTTTGGAAAGTCCTTGAGCTTTGACTTCAACGCTGCCTCCACCATTTCTGGTTTTCCATAGAGGTCTTCTAATCGTGCCCATATCAGGGATAGACCCCTCTCAGGTTGGTGAGTATTTGCTGAACGTATGGATAGAGCGTATCTTTTTGATTCGGGGCCCAGTCATTTTGTCAATAAAAATCAAGTTCTTCGATTGGTGATGCTTTCAATTCCTTCAGAATATTCAGGAAACCAACTTTCCACACTGTATAGTTTTGCGCCGAGTCATCAAATGCCGAGAAACGATGTAATAGTAAATCCTTTTTCAAAAGGTAGTTACTGAGGTCAACTATAGGTGACTGTTCATGAGGTTGAACATGACTGGCAGTCGGAAAATGAAATCCTGCTTGACTGATGCTTGCAGGTCTCGAGTGATGTGAGGCATCATCATGTCGAACATAGTTAGGTGTGATTTCTGAGTGGTTGCTGGCCTGCGAGTTCACATAAGCTTCAGTTCTTTCTCTGGCCGTCTGTTTCACACTTTGTTCTTCAATGTCAAATTGAAAACTTCCTTGAGATCCACGATCGTAATTTTCCATGGCGTTCACTTCTGCGTTTGCCACAGCTGCTGCTTCTTTTTCCTTAGAAAGCCATATATCAATATCAGTAGCTGCCTTTTGTTTTTCCAGAGCCGCCTGCTCTTCCAAGAATTTAAGTCTTGTTTGCTGGGTCTCCGCTTTCACTCGTTTTTTGTATATCTCTGATATTGTCTTTGAGGTTTGTGATGAAGTCCTGGATTTCACTTCGAACTTTTCCGAGAGTCGTTCGGCTGCCTCTAATAGTTTATTATGTAGGACATCTCGAAATGTGAACACTATATCGGAATATGTGCTATACTGAGACTCATGCTGCTCCAGTTTCTGCAGAGCTTGTTCTGTACGAGCTCTTTCAAGGAAGTTTGCTAGGGCTTGACTTTCTTTAAGGTACTGTTTTAATTTTGCATTTATCTGGTCTTCTGTTGTCCTTAGGTATTTCCTGTCTGTATTGTCACCATCACAATTTGCGATGAGGTCCTCTACCTCTCTGCAAGCGCTTGTGCACTTTTCTTGTAGATCAAGGAATGTTTGGTCAAAGGAAGCCTGACCCGTCTCTGTAAGAGTCCGAATCCTGGATTGTTTATCATCCTGTTCGTCTTTGACCTGTTGTTTCTCCCCTTCCCCTGTTGCCATCGTCCTACAGGTTGTCCCTGGTCATAATCTTTTACTGTTCTGCCTCTGTGCAGAGTGTTTACCAAACCAACAAACCAAAACAATAAAGGCGGATCACTCTTTATTGCATCGATGCTTGTATGTGTATGGTAAAAGACTGAAAATAATAAAGAGACAAGATTTACAAAAAGATTCATACAATTCAGTGATACCCAATTAACCTTATTTTACATTGTAAGTGACAAATTATAGACAAACAAGAATAATATCCATATTTAGTGAACATTTTTCCAATTTAAATTCAAACATAGACTAGCCTATCATAAAAAATTAAAATGCACTCTTAGTAACATGTAGGTTATTTATCACATAAACTGAGGATCAATATAGCGTTTACATTCATAGCAGATTTTTACATAACCATTAACTTTCTAATACACATCGAAATCTATTAACCTATCTGATCCAAAGTAATCTGTAAAATATAACTTAAGATAATACATAAAAACTTACTTATGGTGCAGGGATGTACCCGTAAGAGTGAAAAATACTTTAAAACAATGCTTGGAACAAGCGAAAATGGCCTCCTAGCCTCATGTAGGAACAACATAAAATATTCTAAAAAACAAACCGTAAAGGGTTACAAACCCAGAATAATAATAACAATGTAAAAAGAAAGATAACTCTTACGAGGTATAAATTGTGTAACACTACAAGGTTTGCAGTCTAATTGTGCAAATGGTACTTGTGACAGATTCAATGGAATATGCCTGGTAGGATGTAAGGATCCATATTATGGAGACAGATGTAATCTAGGTAAATGAATAGAATGAAAATGCTCCCTTAAAAATCGTATCAGTTAAAGTATATTTTTTCAGAGTGGGTGGTATCTTTGAAAATGGGAGGGTGAAAAGTGATCGGAATGTCCGCCTGTCTGTTAAGATTTGGTGTACACATCTCTTTTCCTCAACTAATCTTTTACCACTTCATGAAATTTAATAAGACTTTCAAAGATTTGTTGTTACAGAGTGTCATTGTGAAGGATCTATTTTACCTTTTGGTCGGAAACGTTATGGATTTCCAATAGCAAAACAATGACACTGCCATTTTTCCTATAATATTGAATTCAAGGTTACCTACATGTATCTCTTACCCGTACGTCAAACTCCTTCTGCACCACTAAAGAAAACTTTTGATCCTTTCATATTCTTTTAAATAATGTCATTGTGCACCTCCTTATTTTTGATCTGACACTTTTTTCGGGAATCCAAGAGTTAACATGGAAAACATTGAAAATCAAAAGGTGTTTTTTAAATAAATGTCACTATATTCTGTTTTAAATATTTTAAAGGTAATAAGAAACCGGCAACTGAATTTTTAGCATCAGACTGCGTCTCATTGACATGGGTTGTAGTGATATCAGTCACACTCAATACAGTTGATATCAGTCACACTCAATACAGCAAGCATGTGTTGCCTTTGCATTTTCAAAAAGGTAAATGTTAATTTTCAATTATATTTAACTTATTTTTATAACTTATAATATAAATGTCAATTTGTACTATACCACGGTCTTGTTTATTTTCAAATTAATTTGTAGAAACATGTCTTATATATCAAAGTTAACTAGATTCATTGAAGATATCGCGATTTACCATCATTTTTAGTAAACTTCAGAATTATTTCAAGATAATACAATGTAATTGATCTAGCTTCCTTTCTATGCGATGTAAGGGCATATAATCCAAGACGATTGTTGATGAAAGCAGCGTGAATTCATCCCTATTTACAAGAGATAACAAACAGTATTCAAGTCCATAAAGCAATACAATCGAAGAAATCAGAGGCGGGATAAGGTGCCAATGGGGTGCCGACCGGGCACCCGCCGTATGCGCTTGTCAGGATCGGAAAATAACGGAAAAAGCTATCGTTAATTCAGTGAATTGATGGACAAACTATTAATACTAAAATCGACAGTCAGCATTTGACTTAATGATATTTTTTTCTGACAAGGTCATTGCATCGACCAGGATCTTACGAAATGATGACTTTTAACGAGACTGCTAGCATTTATGTCTCGTCTTAACAGGTCCAGTACAATACCCCGATAAAGCTATATAGCTTGATAAAGCTATATAGCGTTATCAAGGCATTTAAAATACCTTGATCAAGGTATTTTATGTAATGAAAATTCAAAACAA